GGTGCAGAGAGAGATACATGCTGTTTAAATATACTTCAAAATAAATACAGTCACAGATAAATGGACTTATTTGGCACCCTTCAACTCAATTTGAGCACTTAAAGCACTTTAAGTCTCTGAATCTCACACACAAACACACAGAGCACTTTTAATCTAACATCCATACAGACACTCATATTCCGATGGATGCATTGGGGGCAATTTGGGGTTCAGTATCGTGCCCGGGGATATTTCGACAGCTGGATTGGAGGAGCCTGAGACGGAGCCACTGACCTTTCGATTGGTCGATGCCCCACTCTACCACTTGAGCCACATCTGCAACACACATTAAAGGATTGCAGACATAAAAAAGGCCCGAGCTATAATTTATATTGATGTACATGTCTCCTTGACATCTTTTATTGGACTACTGTGTTAAACAGATTGACCAAGCTGCTGTGCGCTTGCTGCCACCCTCTAATTAGAGCAGAGTGTGACACGATTACACTTTTACTAAACATAAAAGCCGCAAAAATAATCTCCAATGTACACACTTTTGTTCTCGGTGTTTCCTCTCTGTAATGAAGTGTGTTACACCCCCACCTGGAGCAATCAAACGCACCAGAGAGAGCGTGAGTCAATCTGTGTATCCAGCTCGGCAGAGAGCTGTGTGCATCCGCACTGATCGTTAGCAGCAGCGGGGTGGCTCAAACTTTGGAAGATTGTCTCTCTAACACAGGCAGGAAAATGTTGCAGTAACAAACCTTACGAAGTGACGAAATCCGAGGCCTAAATGAGGAGAAGTTCAAGTGCTACGGTGCGCGCGCCAGTGTTCCCTTATTAATATTCTCGCTGCTGTTGAAAGGGCTCTTCAGCACAGCTGCAGCTTGTTTTGGTGGGGTTGTTCATCCTTTCTATTCAACAGTGAGGGCAACATCGAGGAGGAATGCATGGGTAAGTGTTGCATTACAGTAATTTTATGCTTTATGATACAAAGAGGAATATTGATGCTGTCACACTAGACACATAAGAGACAAATGCTGATGAAACGAGCCCTCACGATCCCTTTCAATGAACCTGCGGTCATTCTGTGTGTCTTTTGGGTTATTTTGTGTCTTTTTCAGATTTTACGCTCCTTTAGTAATCATCCTGCAAACCCCGGCTGAGCAGCAGGCTCATACCCACATTTGTACAGGCTGAATTGATTTAGATAGTAAATGCCAGAAAAGTATTTTCTCTGCCATTAATGTGCATTTTTTTTTGAAAGAACAGACTCTTTGGTCGGCTGTTAACTTGGGGTGTTTAAAAAAATGTGATCACTGATAACAAAGCTAATGGTATATTGCTTGGGGAGGAAAATCAAGATTGCACAAGAGCTTTTTGAAACGACTAATCTCTTTCGCCTGCTTTTAAAGATAAACTGTTATGTAATGTGGTTAAATACTAGATCTAAAAACATGGGGATGACATTTTTTCCACGTGTGTTCACAGACTGTAGGCATCATATACTGAAAACAAAGCAAAGACACCCAATCGAAAAGTCTGTACATCGAAATAAGTTTGAAAGTTTCGTCCTCGACTTATTTCAGCCTCAATTATGCTGCAACGAAAAAAGCACTTCACAGTTCGGTCGCGAATAAATTGGAATAAAAGTGGAGTGTGAAATGTGTAAACAAAAGGCAGGTGGTTGAACTTTATTAGAGAGCGGCGCCGCACTCGGCAGGTGCGGCACTCAGCGCCCTAAACGTCTGCAAGCATCGCTGCTTTACCTCAAACGCAGAGCCGTGATGAAATGGCCGCGTGCCACGGGTGCCTACGACTGCATCAAAAAAGCCAAACAAATCGTGTGTGTCGAACAGGGCGGGCGGCGGGCGTGTGCGCGCTCGAGCTCACTCACACATTGGTTGTGAAAATGCCGTAGATAAGGTCTTGCTCGGGCAGGTAGAAGGTGCTCTGCAGCTCGTTGTAGTAGAAGGGGATCTCCCCGGAGCGAGAGCAGTTGAGCCTCGCCTTCATGAACGTGGTCCACGTGTCCTCCAAGAGAAATCGCCCGCCGATGTCGTTCTTGCAGACCCTCGCCACGCGGGAATACACCGTCTTGCCGCAGTCGTGCTCCACTGCATTCTCCCTCAGGAAGAAGAAGGTGAAGAGGCCGACGTCGTAGGCCGAGATAAAGTGGGGCTCTATGGGGGGGAAGAAGGGGAGAGGGGATCATTACATCTACTCCTGCAGCACAGAAATATTTGCATCATTTATCTTGTAGATGCTGGTTGCTTCGACCCTTTTGCTCCTTATTAGCAAGCACAAGTTTGAATTCCTGCCACTGCCGTCCCAGTTTGAGATGGTCTGGAAAAGAAGCCTAAATGTCAAATGTGTAAATGAGGAGAAGCCGCAGAGACGGATAGGAAGCAGATAAAAAACGGTTACTAATAAATCTGTCTGATATTTTGATGGTAAATCCATGGAGCGATCTCTGTTTAACTACATGTCCGCGCTGTTTTTATTGCCTGGGAAAAGTGGGGGGTGCGGGTGGGGACGCATACACAAAGATTAATGGGCGTCTCTGCTCGGTGGGTTATCAGGTAAACGGCACAGAACAAGAGGGACGTTACTGTCACTCTTTAGACACGAATGGCTCATCACCAAACACTAATTTACTGCTGTCTGCTGTCAGGGGGAAAAGGGCGCTTCGACTTGTACATTTGTGTTTGGCAGAAATCTAACGGGACAGGCTCGTTTGAAAACTCACTTTCTTTTTGTTGCAGCATCTTCTCGTGGTGACAGTCTTGGCTTTATGTACGCCGGAGACATGTGCAGACACATCAAGTGTAGCTTCTTGTGTGATACTTTTAATGAAACGCTGAACTTTACAATCCTAGTTTGTAGCATAAAAATAAACCTAAAAAAAGTTGTTTTTATTATTGCATATAATTGAAATGACCTGTTTTTACGGGTGATGAGTGTATTTTGAGGGTTTTGCAGTCTTTTAGAAAAACATTCATAAGTGTTAATAAAAAGCTGAGGTTGTTAACGATCGCTAAGTAGAAGACGTCTTGTTTTTCATGAGAGGATTAAATCGTTGCGACACTTCGAGCTCAACACCCACACTGTTGTTTTGACACCGAGCATCACGCTGAAGATTTGTTGTGTACCGCTGTGTTTTCTTCTTCTTTCAGATAAGTACAGCTCATGTGCAGAAATGATCAAACACACTGCTGCTGCTGTTTTCTCTTGGGACCCATTTATTGTAACTTATAGGCAGTGTTGGGAAGGTTACTTTTAAAATGTATTCCATTACAGAATACAGAATACATGCCCCAAAATGTAGGTTCTGTGTCGGGCTCGTAGCTGAAAACTAGCTTTACTTTGTTGTCTGGGTTAACTTTGCTAGCGAGAGACAGAGAGAGGCGTTGAAAGGCTGCTCCAACAGAACTTATTGTTTTTGGAGGAAAACACGAACACGGTGTACTGTCGAGTCTTAATAGCTTACTTACAACTGGGCTCGTCAGGCTCTCTTCTTGGCTGCAGTGGTTATTATTATATTTACATGCTTCCAGCTCCCGTTTTTGCTCGATGACAGCTCGTACTTTTCCTTTTTCTCCCTCCCTCGCTCACAGACACATAACGGGTATGGCAGTCCATTCTCCCTGCAGCACGGACTACACTGCCTATGATGCTACATTCTTTAGAGCTATACCTGTAGCATTCTGCCTGTTAGCTTAGCACAACAACAACAGGCGCTCTCTCACCCAGGAAACACGCAGAGAGAGAGCGTCACCCTGTAACCACGGCAACCGTAACGCCGCCGCCTGGAACAACAGAACGTAGCTGTCAAACAAAACCCAAACAGTCCTGACCCGCCACAATATGAAACAGGGAAGTACCGCCGTGTAATCCATTTATTTCAACAAAGTAACTGTATTCTAAATACCACCTTTTTAAACGGTAACTGTAACGGAATACAGTTACTCATATTTTGTATTTTAAATACGTAACGGCGGTACATGTATTCCGTTACTCCCCAACACTGCTTATAGTACATCCGGGCACATGCACGCTCACACGGGCAAAAACATGAATGGAAGAATATCACCATAATTTGCACAGACACATGCACACACATAATGGAAATGTAAAAGGCAGATACGGCGATTACAAACACACACACAAGCTTCCACATGCACAAACAGGATGGACGTGACCTGTTAACAGCCGTGTTGGAATGTGCATCAGAGCCTACCGAGACTTTTTAGAGATTGTAATTTTTACACAAAGCAGGGAGAAAACGAATCCGCCTCTCCACACACAGCGACAGCATCTGTGATGAAAATAACTGGCAGTTTGGGCCGAGCACAAACCAAAGCTCCCGTGGTACCAAAAGAAGAAAGACACAATCAGCAGGAGGAGGGATCCCAACTTTTCAACGCTGTAATCAAGTTTTATTAAAGGGGCGGCGAGTGCCAAAGACCTCGCTCCCTGACCGCCATAATTACTACTCTAAGAGAATGTGAGGAAAGCAGCGGTGGCTAATTTAGCAGGTGATCTAATCGACTTATCGAGTTAAATGAAATTAACTTGTGGGTCTTATCAGTTCATCCTCAGCTGTATTTCAAATCGAAGGCGAGTACGAATGCTATTAAAGAAACAGAGCGCTTGTTATTAGCATTTTTATTATACATGAAACCCAAAGGTAATCACAGTGTTTACAGCGGTGGCAAAAAGATTTGTCAAACCTTTGTCAAGATCTCTGTAGCAAACTCCGATCCCGCATTCAGACTGTTAATCGGTGCAAACAGGCGTGCTGATGAACAAGTGAGAGTTGCCATGCCTGCAGGGTGACTGACACTGCAAAACCATCATAATGTGTTAGTGCTACTTTCCCTTTAAAGCTAACGAGCTGTTATATGAAAGCAGGTGAGCTAATGTAAGGGATAAGTGTGTGTATTCGGTGTGCTTGAGTCGTTCTGTGTTTACATACTGTACCTGTGTTTATGCGCGCTGTACGTGTGTCAGGCAAAGGGCAGGTGGAGCTGACAGATTCTGCATAATATTACTGAAGCTGCGTGGGTGCAAAATGTGATGAACAGAGTTTTGTTTTTTTCCCTCTGTACCCTGCTAAGTGATAAACAGATTGTTCAATCTGGCAGGCTGGTTGGGTGCTGGAGTAAAGCTGCCTCCAGTAACGTCACATGATGCCTTAGATCAAACACAATCACTGCTGAAAGTGCACGGCTATTTATTATTCAAGCAAAGGGATGCTGCGGGAATGCAAAGATGCTCTGCTAAACACAGGTGGGACGGGTGGTGTCGGGTAGTTTAATTACATCAACGGGACAGACGAGCTCTTTTGTAAGCAGGTTAGATGCCTCTGATGATCTCTGTGTTCATTTTTACACAGAACTGTTCGTTTTGTGTCTTTTTGACATGTCTCACTTTTCAGCTAGCTTAGCTGCTAAAAGAGTGGGCAAAAGATGTCTGAATATATCTCCTGCAAAAACCTGTTATGTACTAAACTAATTTGTTTTGCCAGATAAGATTTGGAGGAAACATATGTCCTTGAGGATTATACTTCCAACCTTTTTTTCCTTTGCAGACAAAGAGCGCACACGCAGCACACAGACCGAGGGTGAGTATGTGTGTATGCAGCTTTAGGTTTGGATGAAGGAAATATAGAGTTTGTGGTTCATCCTGAGCTCAAACCTAAAGTAGAGTTATACTCATCCTGACTTTGGATTCTGAAAACAACCTGCTCTGGATGTGAGCACAGAAGCTCCACCCACCTGCCATTCAATCCTTCTGTTTGTGAAGAGCAGCCAATAAGAAAAAAGCTGGGTTAAAGGATGTGAGAAGGGTGCTAAAACAGCTTGTTTCAAACAGAGAACAACTGCACTAAGGTCCAGTATAAGATACATAATAATTATTGTGAACCGAGTTATGAAAATGTTATCTAGTACAGCCTCATGATAAAAAATATGGAGCTGGAAATGACTATAATGGATCGACTTTAACTCTTAATTTTATTATAGTCTGACAAAGTTGTGCAAAAAAATTCATGATTTATAAAGAAATGATTGCATAACAGCAATAAAATGCTTTAATGGGGCTCTAACTGTAGCAACAAGCTGCTGTGCAAAGAATAAAGCTCTGCAAGGCCCACGGTATTGTCCAAGAGCAGCGGCTGGAGCGTTGGAGAGGTATCAGTAGAGTAATATAAGTCTGGCTATGAAGTTCTTTGTGTGCGTGTATGAATATGATTAGATGTTACAAGTCAGTTGGCAGATGAGCAGCTGAGGATTGAGCCACTCAAAGGGAAGCATGAAAGAAGCAGTTCATGCCAACTGGCTAATACACTGCTCTACCTGAACTAATGCTATACTCTTCTTGCCAGGAGCAGATTAAAAAAGAAAGTTGGAGACATGCTCAGTATTTGCTTTGCATTCGTAGCGTCATTAAGAGTTTTACTATCACTTAATAAATAAAACGATCTCTGCAGTATTTAATGTTCTGCAAAACAGTATTTTGCCAGCGCAAATTAGATCAATGAAAGAGCTTCACATTAGGTTGAAGCATCACTTGTAGCTGAATGCATAAGCATGAGCGATTACGATTTTTGATGTTTTGGTTTCTTTTAATATCTGCCGAGAAACATTTTTCCGAGAGCTGAGAGGAGGCCGAAGGCTAATAGCAAAAACATAAATAAACATGTGGCTACCGATGAGACCTGTGAGGAAAGCGAGAGAAGCACGCAGGCATTTCCTTAAGACTTTTTCCTCAGGAGACTCTGTGCATGTAGCTCCTTGTGACATTCAGATGCATGATGGGAAACAGTTGGTCAGCACCTGGCAGGCAACCAATCCAATAAGAGAAGAGACTGATTAGATCCAGGACCCCCTCCCCGCCTTTGGTTCTGCTGAACTGGAGAGGCTCCGAGCTGGAAATGAGATTTTCATTCACACCCCAAATTCACCGGGGAACACGACTCCATAACACTCGTAGAATCAGCCATGAAGCAAAGCAGGCTTCGACCGGCGGAGTGGAGGGCGACACGCGTGCGTCACCGTGCGTGCAGCCAGCTGTGATTACGCCGATGTGCACTCGATCTTTTTTTTTTTTTTTTGACGCTCACTTCCCTTCAACAGGCTTTCTTCCTGTGCGTGTGTTAATAAAGCACACGTGGAAGCATGTGGAGCTTGCACACAGTCTAAATACATACATGCATGTTCAAGCCCACACAGGCGGCGTCCCTGGGATGAGGCGAAGCATGCTGTGTGTTGTAATTTCACCCTCTCCCTGCTGTGAGGAATAATTACACCGCTCACTGACTCCTCAGTCCTCAATCTTTCCCGCTTCCCTCTCATCCTCATCCTCTTCCCGGACCTGCAACTCTCTCATCTGTCTGCTATCACTACCACAGCATTTTCCTATTCTTACAGCAAGACATACAGTTCACACTAACAATTCTTTTAACAGTGAAAGACAATCAGTCGCCATCAGCTCTAAATGATGGATCGGCTGCGTTTCTCTCTTTCACGTCGCCAGCCAGCAGACCAAACAAGCTACTCCGACTCCACGAATCAGATTCACCGTTTGGGAATTTGGTGATCTGTCTGACATTTAATAGGCTAAATGTTCAGCGGATAAACTGAGAAAATAAGAGGGCGGAAATCAAGCAGTAATGAAAATACTCATTAGTCACTGCCCTCATTACATTAAGAAAGACATTTTCTGACACGGCTGCTCGTATTTTATACAGATAATTAAACCAGGAGAGAGTTTAATATACATCCAGGCTATGAAAGAACTGTTAGTCATCTGACATTGTCTGTGGGACTGAAAACGAATCTGACCTTTACTTCCAGAATTGCACATGTTCTCTACATAACACGTCCAGATCTCAGTGCTACTGCATATCAAAGAAACTCGATGACAGCGCTTTTCAGTGGACGGTCCTGCTACATTTCTGCTTGAGTCAGAATGTGTTTTAATGTTTCCAGTAGAGAGAAAAAGGCCCAGCGTCAGCAGCTGGGAGATTACTGACACCAGCACCAGAAGGACCAACAGTATTTCATGTTCCCCGCCATTCTGTAAATCCCACCGATTCCTATGCCTAACCTGTAACTCTGCGTTCTACACAGTACTTCAATCACAGCCGTCTTTGTAGACCTTTGAAAAAGAAGCATGCCGGATTGATCTATCTTGGCTCTAACATGGGAGGAAATTGTGTTGGAAGCAAAAGTGCCGACTTGGCCCATCCGCCGCTCGAGACGGGACCTGGGAAACGTTTCAAGAAACAGCAGCAGGTATTTTCTATTTGACACAGTATAACCCTGTGGATTATCTCAAGTTCAACAGGTCAGATTACTGATCAGATTACTCGTTTTATTTGATTAGATTTCTGGACTCTGACAGAAAAATATAATGGAACATTTACTCAGTCGAACACAAGCAAACCTGTAACTCACACCCCTGAAATTGGATGATTTAAAAGCTCTAAAATGAGCACCAGTAACACCAGCTCGCAGCTCTGCAGCGTTTTCTGCACGTCTCTGCTTTTTCATTCAACATTTATGTCACAGAGTTGAATAACGCCTCCTCCTTTTGGGAATTTCTGGTGGCCATATTTCAAATACCGAGTAGCAAAGTAATTAACTAGAATTTTAATTGGTGATGAAAATACTCATTATCTGAAGCACAGTTAAATAAATGACACTCAAATAGGACGTCAGTGTGATCGTGCGGTGATTCTGTACCATTCAGCCATTTGGAGTTGTACTGGGCAGTCCGGAGTGGTGGCATGCCGCCCAAGCTCCGGTATATGACGGGGTCACGGCCGGAGAAATCGATAACGGTGGCGGCGTACAGCTCTCCGCTCTCTGTCACCACCGCCGTGGAGTTGTGACGAGGGTCGTACGGGCAGCGGGCCACGCCGTTCACGCTCTCCAGCACGCTGCTCAAGTTGCCCACCTGAATGCGGGGCACAGAGACGGAGCGATAAATGTGCGTTAAATCTGCGGCCTTTACATCGTGTTTCGACAAAACCTGCACAGCCGCACACACGTAACTACCTCTCTGGCGATACAGCGCGGCTGGAAAGCATTGGTTCCGCATGTTATGACCTCCGTCTTGTTCACCAGCAGGACTCTGACGTAGTTCTGACATTCGGTCTGCAGAGAAGAAGGAAGGGGAAAAGTTGAAGTAGAGCAAAAGCTGAGGTGGTTAGCTAAATACTCTTGGACGTGTTGCTGAAAAGAACAATGGACCAAGTCTTTGGCATGCAATCAAAGCAATTCAGTGTGCAGCTTTTGCTCTTGTGAGTCTATTGTTCAGAAATATGAATACTCGTTTGTAACTAAACGGAAGCCTGTCTGCGACACTGACATAGGCTCTACAGTAAGTCAAGAATGTGTTTTAATAAAAAGAACCAAATCTGCTTTAACAAAGGCTGAGGATGGATTTATTGGACTGAGGTAATTGTGGTGATGCAGGTTTCGAAGAAAAATGACAGCCTGTTGTATATTTGGTATCAGTCTTCACTGTATAGACACTGTGAGAGGAATAAACCCCCAAAACAAAAGAGTGGTGCAATTAGTTCTTACAAAAATCATTGAAGCAGGAAAACTGATCGCGCCAATTGTCATCAGATATATTTGAGAGGAAGTCCTTTTGAGAGTCTCACCCAAGACTCTCTTGTGCACATTTTCTTTCCCTTCCCTTTTGCCCTCTCTCTTCACTGCAAGAAAAACAACACTTGATTGAAGGGTCTGAAATAGCTGCTCTGCGCAGCGCCCTCCCACGAGGCCCGCGAGGACCTCGCCACGACAGCCAGAGGATATCAAAAATGGCCTCTCTGTAAGCCAGGCAGTGCGGACGTGAAGTGTTGTAATTGGGGGCGTGATGGAGGTTACCTCTGTTTTGCCTTTGCTCTGACAGGACCCCCTGGTCTCCTCGTCCGGTGCCCATTCTGTCGCCTAGGAAACAAAAACAAGAAGAGAAAAAAAAAGTCCGGTGATGACAAAAGAGGCCGAAAATCAGTCAGCTGAGTCCTTCAGACGCTTACAACAGTTACGCAACAGCGCACTGTTGCTAATACTGTAGGCACGCTCAAAAAGATGCATGAAAAGACTTTAACCTCATTGCTGTTTGTTTATTGTGTAAACATGGCGACTGGCTTGGCAGCCCGGAGCTTATTCGAGGGTAGCGGGCAAAGCACGCAACGAGGCATTTGAAGGGCTGAGGACAGCATTAGCATGTAAATGGCTTTCTCTCTCTCGCTCGCTCGCTCCCTTCCTTCTTATCCTTTCTTCTCTCTCTGAAAGTTTGCAGCACTCACCTCCACTCCACCACCTCCACCCTCCCACTGCCCAATTATATTCCTGTTGATGGGTATGTCTTGGGCTTAATTACGGATGCAGCACAGCAGCGCTGCGCGGCTGCACTGCAAACACACTAATGCATGAGCATACACACAGTCTGCCTTGGCCACCGGAGCTGCTCTGGCTCTTGTTTAGAGGGGTTGAGAGATGTCCCTTTCTTGGCATTAACTGTACGGTTTATGAGCAGGTGCCAGAGGACCCCCGTTATGTGTCACTGGCCTCATTTTACTCATCCTCCTCCCCATCTCCTCCTCTTCTGTGATCTCCCTGCCCAAGGAGGAGGTTAACGAAATGTAAAAAAAGTCTGCCATTATATAACAACAATTCATCTCTTTCTTATTCTCTTTATTTCCTTCCCTCCCTAAAGGATTAATGTCACGCAGAATTGATAATTATCTACATGTCGGGGGATTGCCAGGAAAACTGGCCAGTGGGACGAAGTTGTGACCCAACATTCGGCGAAGCCTGCCAACTGAGGCCAAACAAGAGTCAACATTAAACTGGGTCACAATTTCATTCGCCAGATGGAGAACTCGAACAAACTCCGAGAGTTAAAAAGGCAAAAACTTTGATTCATTGTGAAGCTTCTCTTAACTAAAACTTCTTTATGTGTAAATTT